ACAACCGTGGTGTAAACATACCAGCCCTAAATCAATCGGTTTGATAACGCCTGCGTGCGGAATAGCGTGCTCCTAATATGCCGGAGACAGCTAAGCTTGACGGCGAATAGTCACCTGACTGGATCGGTTTAGCGCCAAGAGAACGAATGCTTCCATGACAAGAACAGGCATCAGATATTCGAACTGGGAAGTACATGAGATTTAAATTCAGCAAGGAAACAGACATGTGAGAGCAGGGTAGACTGCATGCATCGCCCAGACAGCGGCGAGCAAATCAAGCAACCTGGATACTCTTATCTGTGATTCTGTTTTGGTGGGGTTGAACTAAGGGCAACCCAGGACAAATCCCGCTCGAGTATTGAGACAGCAGGAGATGGCCGAATGGAAACAATAGTGCGATTACAGCGCCAAATTAACATTGATCAAGTTTCTGGTGACCTATTGATGAATGTCAGTTCAAGCAAGGAATTTCAATTCGAAGCAAAATCACCAAACGCGGTTACCCTCTACCATTTATGTTAATATAACAAGCAACAACCATAATGACGTGGATATACACAAAGATGTATACCGTACACTGTTTCAGCGTATAATACAACCCAACGAATAGTCATATTTACGTATCCCAGGATTAATTGTAGCCTCATTCCCACCTAGCCATGTCCAGAAAAGGCTGGTAACATAACCGAACAGTGATTCACCATCAGTGTTGGCTAGCACTGAAATATGGACCAAAAGCAGGGAATTCTATCATGGCGCCACCTTCGTAGAAAATCGGTCGTCTGAGGAACCAAAATGTCTCCTCTTGGCTTGGAGGAGGGTTTGTTTCCTCAAATGTACAGAGCAGAACTACTATACAGCGAAAGTTGTTTTCCTGACGGGGAAGTTTCATCCTCCAAGCTGACCTATTGAGTTGATGAGTGAAATTACCTAATCAGGGCCTGAGAAGTTGATCTTATTAGCATTATGTAGTTGAATCTGATCTCTACTGTGTGCATTTTCGACCCAGTTTCCTGAAACCTGGTTTCTGGATAGATTCACATTTGAGGATACCCCCTCTGCTGTGTTCATTCACACTAACAAATTCATGCATCGGTAATGCCACTCAATGGCCTGCGCAAGTCTTTGATGAAGTGAAAATTACGAAAGCACAAAAATGTGTTGAAAACCAGAACTTTCGACATTTAAAATTAAATAGTTCTAGTTCAGAGATTGAAGAGTTGGCCGGGAAGAGAAGCGCACACATCGCAGACGGAAAGTAACAGTTGAAAGATTCCGGTGATCGCGGGGAGAAAAGGCAGTCCAAGTGACTCAACAATTCAAACGTATTTTGATCGGGCACTCATTGGAAGGATTGCCCATGCGACAAATGAAAGGCCTGGCACATTCTAAACGAACTGAAAAGGTTTCGGAGATAACAATATGATGAAATGACTTTTATCAAGCAATGCAACCCAAGCTGTGGGTTCCACAGGCACTACCCGCTATAACTGTACTACGCGTCCATGATTGAAGTTAGGCACATCGAATAACCAGCGTCACGCTCCAAATGTGACTGTACAGGATAACAGGATGCAGACAAAGTTGATGCGCCCTCGCCTGGTCGTTACGACTTCCTAAACGAAGCTGATCATACTGGTGTAGCGATGGATACTACTGGAGAGGCATGCGAGTAGTATGTGCCCTTCCCGTAAGTCCGCTTTACGTCTATTGAAGCGAGATTTATTACGGAATTTGTGGAATTACTTTGTAGCATTTGTTTATATTTAAGTGATAGTCAAGGAGTGTTCAGGAAAACGCATTCGAGAAGACGGATATTCAGTTTTTATTAGAAAAGATCCGTATGAGAGTTTTGCTTCCGTTTCCAATAGTCTGTAACTGTTCAGTTGGTATTTTCCAATAAGCAAATCCACAGCGCAGGCCTTCTTCCTAGGTGTAACGGTCGACACTACTGATGGGAGCATGCGAATAGTATGTAAATCCACATCGCGTCTCATGAAAAGTGAGATCTATTACAGAATTTGTGGAGTCGCTTTGTAGCATTTGCAATCCACAGCCAGGCCTTCTTCCTAGGTGTAACGGTCTACACTACTGATGGGTGAACACTGTATTTATCGAAAATTCATCTGTACTGTATTGATCAGTCCTCGTACTGTCTTGTTTTTGGCACGGATCAGCAAGCAGGGTTTACATTTAGACGTCACCCTACTGACGATTTGTGTTACAGTCGAACGATTATTATTACCAGTATTGTTATCGCTTTATCCATGACTCATACTTGCGGAGTTCGGGGCTAACAAAATCCTGCTGGGTTCAGAGTTTGACAGGAAAGATATTGGTGTTTGGACAAGATCTGATCTTCGTTTTACCTCGACCGGGGACATACATCGAACCATATCATGCGATCGTCTGAGCACAAATCATTTGGGGTTCCAACTGAACTTACGGGCTGCAAGTATTCGAAATATTATCGCACCCGTTAGTAACCTGTGATTTCTACTCACTTTATTCATTCGATCAAGCATGTATCAATAAGATGGATAGCGAGCAGGCAGGTAGCACTGACCGTGGTCAAAGCAGTCTATAGAATACATATTTTCATTATCACATTCATTCGGTCATTTAAGAAGCGTGATGATGGCTGCTGCTTCCTTGAATTTCCGTACCATTAACATGGGCTGCAGATCTACTGAAAGGTGCAAACATCCAGCCCATAGCTGGGCTCACTAGTCCGAAAGCACCGCCCAACATCAACTGTCGGACCACTTCCGATCTATTATTTGGAACCCGACAAAAGATTCCGTCGATTTGATCTGGTTGCCCGTGTTGCTTGACTTCTCGATCCCCATATCCGAGAGATTACAGTCTTTTTCATTCTCTGTGGTTGGTGCGACCCACAAAGTTCGTTCAACACGCGGAAACAGGTACAAAACTGACTGGATAACCCGACAAAGATTCCGTCGAATTGATCTGGTTACCCGTGTTGCTTGACTTCTCGATCCCCATATCCGAGAGATTACAGTCTTTTTCATTCTCTGTGGTTGGTGCGACCCACAAAGTTCGTTCAACACGCGGAAACAGGTACAAAACTGACTGGATCACTTGGCATCATTAAACTAGATCCGAGTAACCAACCGAAAGACAGCTCGAAAGTTAATGCAGAACGTGGCTGATTCGACTGTTACTATCGCATTGAGCTCAAATGTGAGCGCAGAAGCTACTAGCTCGGTCGAAACAGCTGAATTGGTCAATGACCGATCAGGTAAACACAAACGCCAGTCTTGTCACATGACTAGGCTTCACTCTTTAGGCTGTCATGCTTCGGATTTTGCAATCGATTCGTTTATTGTCACTCCAGCCTGCAAGTATAAAAGCATTTTCAAACTTTTTTCATAAAGGAAACTATTTACAAGATTGCTGAAGACTCTTCGAACTTCAAACTTGTCAAAAGCCTACATGTCCTACTGAATAGGTCTTCAGTAGCTCGAAATAATGATGAGAAACAGTGTGTTGAGTCCATATGTCCGACGTCTACTCGCAATACACGGCCCTAGAGCAAAGCCAAAACAAGGTAATACCCTGGCCGATGTTTTCATACCTGATAATTGATTCAGCTTTCAGTCGCCGCGTAACAAATTCAATCTTCGGGATGCCAAACCAAACTGGAAAACAAGTCTGACTCGGTTCCCCAAGGTGTGCTCATACTTGGCATACATTCTCATCTTATGTTGTGGATTTTAGGAACTTCCTCCAAAATTTCTCCTTTCTCGAGTACGTCCGGAAGCACAATCGATGGGAAGATAACATCAGCTGCAACGACAAAAATCGCAAGACTTTTACAACTTACTATGCACTACCACATGCGACCATTTGTTTACTCACATACAAACCAGAAGGAATGTAGTACGCGTAGTCAGTTTCTCTGTGGTGTTTGGACTGTGAGCACAGTGGTTGCTCTGTAGAGGGAACACCAACGCGACCAGCTGAAATCCTCCCCTTTTGCGAGGAGCACCTTTAAGGGGTCGTTCAGTCTTCACGGGCGCAGACAAGTCCGAAACGCTTTCGTCAAGCTATCCGGATATTCTGTAAACACTACGACATTTTGAGGTGTTTCAATCAACATTTCGCTCTGCCGAAAGGCTGTACTGTATAACTGTTTCGTATTCACTGGAAACCACCCGTAGTGTATATCTCGTGAACTCACAAACGACTCAAACCCGCAGGTCCAGTGCGTGGACACTAAACCGTTCGGCCAGGAGTAGTGTGATTAACTCGCAATTGGACGGGATGTAGCAACACTTATCCTGAGGTCACGGCGTTCATTTGTTTCATTCGTCCACATTTGGTCCAAGTTGACAAAAAAACACTGAAACGTAACATATCCGGAGATACAGGTGTTTAACTCGCAACCACCCTCCTCCTGGTATCCTTTCGGCAACAACCTCGTGACCACTACTCCACTCACAATCGCAGGATATATGCTAGCAACCCTGTATTTCAAAGACAACTGGTGAATGAGGCGTGGCAACCAGGACCAAAGTGGGATCCGTGGACAACTAAGAATCAAAGTTGTCTGACGTTAGAATCACGACTTAGAACAAGCTTGCCGCACTTTTTTTCTAAGTATACCACAGCAGAATAACAGGTGCTATCGACAAGGGAGCCCACCCCTCAGTTGACTTATCAGGACTAGGTCATCGCGACTCGGAAAAACTAAGTAGAATACAAGTATCCTCAATTCAGTGGTCACCATCGTAGGTACTGAAATTGTCGCGTCCACCTGGTTTTATTCCGACTTAAGCAAGCTAAATATTTCCGAAAGATACACGTAAAGAAAAAATTTTACGGTGCGCATTACTAGTCCCAGCCGGTCCCCTTGTACAAGGTATAAAATCTCAACCAAAATAAGCTTATCTTTAGGGTGTTGATGTTTCCCTGCACAAACGAATTACTAGATCTGCTCGGATGAAGAATAGGAAACAAAGACAAAGCATGTGTTCTTATTTTATATGACATAAACTGTACAGTGACTTATGGGTACATGATGTAGCTGGCTCCAATCAGCTGGTTTCTGCACCACTGCTTCCACCCGCCTCATCGGTATCTTGTTGGCTTTCCGGGCTGGAAGTCTCCCAATAGTCCGGCGGCTGGTCTTGGCCCCTCTCTATCGGCAGAGCCTCTTTTTCATGTTCCACAGCAGGCGTTTCCTCGTCAGATGATTGATCACCTCCTAGAAATTCTTCCCACTTATGAATACGATTGATTTCTTCTGACTCATCTTCTTTCAGTGAGTAGTTTGTCCTTCCATCCCAGCGTTCGACCTGTAGCTGACGTACCCCGCCAGGTCCTGGATAATTAAACAAGGCCTTGTTCAAAAACCCAAGGGCAGTGTCCGCCTCCTCCGGGGTATTAAACGTCACTGTGACGACACCCAACGGATTAGTCTGTTGGGAAAAGGGATTTAGAAATAATGCAGCAGGGCAGAGATATTGTGGCCATAGTCAACAGTCGAAGTAAAACGGCTTCTATGCTGCATGTGAAAAACTCACATCATGGACCACGATCTTCTTTACAACGCCGCATTTAGCACATTGAGCACGGAGACGATCACGGACCAAGGGGATGAGAGTCACATCAGTCTAAAGAGAGAGAGAGAAATCAGAAAGACTGGAAGACAAAGAGGTACAATTGCCATCTTGCTAAACTACCAAGAGAAACAGACGGTTATTAGATTTTCAAACAACGGATGGACTAATACACGTACAATTGTTGGCAAATCATCGGTCAAGTTGAGTAAACAGTGAGGGTATTCGACCCAAGTTGTGGCATATTGTTAGGCGGAACACCGCACAAATACCGCTTTACCGCAAACGATTGGACAAAAGATCGGGCCGCTTGTCGGTTAGGCATCAAGGCCAGCTCCAATTGTTCGAAAGTTTGGACCCAACAGCTAATCACGAACCAGTATCCACCGAGTTGCCAAGGTCGCGTTCAGGCGTCAAAATTTCCATAACTTTGTCGCCGCTTTATAAACGACGCAGTTTTGACCTGTTTTGGGCGCTAATACACAATATGCATCTCTGGTGGTTGTTTTTGACGGGAACGCTAGCTTGGAAGGTTCAGACCATGAAGTAAGCTGGGGAAATACCGTTATTACACGCATCAGGTACATAAAAACAGTGACCATAATCTCTCTAAATAAAGGCTCGAGAAAATGATGAAATCTACAAAGGACGAGAGAGACGGGTTCCAGATATGGAACCAGAGCCTCTGCCTACTGCGGGAAAAAAAATAAATAATGAATCGTTCAACTGTAACAACCTTCCGGTGCCTAGCTGCCATGCCACACGAAGGAGGCACGGGGGCTGGGATACTGCCAGGTTGCCCAAGCCTAGAGAGGGGAAACTCAAGAGGCATAGGTCAGGTTTGAACCACGGACCTTGCGGTCAGTAAATTTGCGCTCCAACCAGTCGAGCCATCTCGCCCCCTACCGCGGGAAGCCAGCACTCGAACCCACTGCGTGTACAGCCGCCTCAACATTGTTCTGCATTCCCACTACTGCTGGTGAGCAAGCTGAATATAGAGTTGTTTCAACGTTTCAAAAACGATCTCAAAGGTGCAAACACACAGGAGACTACGGATGCTTTGACAGCATTGTCCCGGAGAAACGGATGAGCTCCATCAATACATTTGGATACAAGATCAGCAGTAACAGTCAGTTGTACTTTGAAGTAGCCACGTGCAAAAAATACCATGTCTCCACGGTAGAAGGAAGAGGCAGCTAGGAAGTGAGGGAGATGGTATGCAGCAGTTAGTTGATAGAAGAGTCACTGGATAGACACAGGATCATTTACGTTCTTAGAAGAATAGTTGCAGGACTCAACTAAGAGGTGTAGGTAACAGCCACAGATAGGAGCATCCCCGACCATGTGGTATGTCACCTTTTTCAGTCTTGAAACAGTGATTGTCTGGCCTTGGAAGGTATCTGACAGCTACCGATACGAATAAGGTTTTGGTTTCAGGATTTCGTGTTTCTATGTCAGGATTTAACTGCCTCGGTATGACTTCTTCCCAGGACACTAGTGACATTGCAGAGTAGACGATCACTTGACACTGCCTAATCAACCAAGTCAGGGGGGGGGGTATTTTGTCTACTTGAGGATTCATGTAATTCCGTTCTCAGCATTGAAAACGTAAGTGCACCATGTTGTATTCCACATTTCGAATACTACTGTCGGCTACTTTTACTCGGATGGGCCGCTAAGCCACTCTGTTAGTCCGTATTTAGAGGAATACGTCAGTGCTTTGGATTGTGATCCCCTTGGAGGTATCATACATTGTTGTTGGTTTCCTATTCCATGAATTTTATCCCTCGGAGAGCGTGGCACTCAATTTGTATGACTGTTTCAAAGAAGCTGGCCAGATTGATCAGCATCACATGCAGGCATTCGGATGTGTAACCTAATTAGTGCCGTGTCGTATAATGTTAGTGTGAATTTGACCTGCGTGATAGCCTCAATAGATGAGAACATAACTTGGCGCTGCGAGAGACTCACCTGGAACCCAGCTGACTCTCTCGTTCGTGATGTTTTCAGGCAACTGAATTTACTGAACCAGGCCACCTCATGTTCTAGTTGCTACGATATTCGAGATATCGCGATACATCACAAACGAGAAATTCAGCTAGGCTCCAGGTGAGTCTCTCGCAAAACCAAATTTGTTTGCAAATTTCGTGCAAATGGGCTTCGGATAGAACATAAGATTGACGGAAACCGCAGACTGCGCCGACCTGATGAGCCCCAAGGAAAGCGAAGCCGGTCGTGGGCTGTCTAAGAATTTTCAGCAACCTTATGAGTAGTGCATTACGTATGTGACTTGCGCTGTCCACTTCCGCTAATATTTTAATAAGCGTATCAGGAAGAATACTTTTTCTGTCTGTATGTTCTCACCACTCATGTCTAGCCCACCAAACCTTTAGTTCTTATAGTGTAAACGTGTAGGAGCGGAAGGCTCGAAATAGCATTTACTAATCGTCGACTACCAGAGTGTCACTGAATCTTCCAAGTTTACAACAGGAGAGAACCGCCGGGTTTAAAAATCCACCTAGCCAGAAACAAAGAACTTATACTACTGCAATATTTTCTGGACAACGCTGCATAGTTACACGAAGGAAAATGAGGGTATATTTCGTATGTTGCATACTGCAGTGTTTACCTTAGAAGGAGATCAAATGCATAACTCATATTATTGAAGTGGCTTAACTTCGGGTTCCCCGGAAATCCATCCTATAAAACCACCATTTTAGCGAATGGACAAATCCACCGCGTGGGCACTTGCGGTTCTAGTAGGACTCGGTGTACCACCTACCATTTTGGCGACAAATATCGCAATGGGAAATTTACAAGCTCCAACTAAACAGGGGCAGACATTTTAATCGAATTCTGTATAAAAAAACAGTCTGGTGGGTCAGACGACTTTCATTACGGATCTATAACCAATTCTGGTGGACAGGGGGAATAGCTCAGTAGTTAAAGCGTGAATTCACTGACCGGAAGGTCCATGGTTCGAACCCGATCTCTGCCTCTTGACTTCCCCTGTCTAGGCTAGAGAAACCTGGCAGTATCCCAGCCCTCGTGCTACAGCTGAATGATTTTTTTTTCTGGCAGACGGTGTTATGTACGATCTTGTGCGGTGCCGGCTGATTTGTAATGCTGCAAT